CTTTATTTATGGATAAATACAAGGAAAATTTTTATTGATTTTTCATTTAAATTCCAATGTGATGTGCAGTGAAAGTTTGTATGGCACTTGTTAAGAAAACCATCTATCTGTCGTTCTATTGTCTATCGTGTGTTGGTTTCTTGGTGACTCAGTGAATCGTGAAGTTAATCTCTCGTCACTTATAAACAAGAATGCCTTTGCCAGCTATTGTTTCTCTTTCTGAGGAACAGAGATAGGACAACTTACTTTCGTCGATTGAGAAATTGACGCTTTCAAATAATGAAATGCGCGAGGAAATTCGTACCAATACCAACAGCGTGGGTTCCTTAAGTCGACAATTGAGTAGACTTGAAAATAGGACAAGTGAGACGGACAAAAGATTAATAATGGCTGACAAGGTCACCCGTGCCAAAAAGCTGATTTTGTTCAACTTGGAGGATTCAGAGGAAATAAATAGGAATCTATTCAAGGGAGTTTCGGACATTTTTTCAAAGGTGGGCCTTCAAATCCCTGACGTCGCTTATGATGATGCTTTTCGACTGGGAAAAATTAAAGGAAGACGTCCCATATTGATCAAATTTATAGCAGCAAGATGGGTCAGGTTGGTATTTTCGAAGGTCAAGGAACTCAGAAATCTAAACCTAAACATAGCCAATGACCTCTCGATTGAGGAACGTGAAGCTCGTCAAGTAATGTTAGCAAAGGTTCATGAGCTGAGGGATTCTGGATATCAGGCTAAGATGAGAGGCTCAAAAATCTTAGTGGATGATGTTATAGTCTCCTTAAATGAAATTAACATCTTGTTGAATAAAAAATTGTCATCTGTAGATAAGGTGGTTGAAAGAGAAGATGACTCGGCTTTTCAAACTCCAGCATCTCATAAAACAAGCAAGAGAACTAACAAACCTGGACGTACTAGAAAAAATTCTAATTTAGATACCAAGTCTTCAATGAATAATAAATTACTTGATAATTTCCTGATCCCTGGGACATTTTCTTCTCAGGAGACACTCAGCGCGAGAGAGCAGAGATTTGCTAAAAGAATGGAGAACCAAGATAGAGAATAGCAGAAAGAGGGTGTTCCTTCGGGGGAAAATTTTCAGAAGGCGAGTCTGCGTTTATCTTCCCGATTACATCCTAGGATCATTTTCTGGAATCTTCATGGCTATAGCAATATTGTGGATATAGTGAGTGATATAAGGGAAGAGGACATTTTGGCTGTCAGCGAAACCTGGTCAACTAATTCAGGTTTGAAGTTCCAATCTTCGTCAAATTTTGCTTCTATTGCAGCGCCTGCCTGGAAGAGCAATAATTTGGGTAGGCCAAGTGGCGGCCTCTTGCTGGCATATAACGTAAATTTATATAAAGCAGAAATTTTATTAATCTCTCACTTTTTTATCTTCGTTAATTTTAAATTTAATGATTGTAATTTTATTTGTGGCTTGACTTACTTTTCTACAAGTATGGATTTTTATGGTTATTTAGATGAATTAGTCAGATCAATTAGCTCTATCGCAGAACGCTTTCCAGATATTCCATTTATAATGGGTGGGGATTTTAATTGTAGGGTGGGGGAACTGAATCAGTTAAATCCAGATATTTTGCATTCATATAGCCTAAATAATGTAAGAGAGTCTTCAGATAAGAGGTTTAATTCGAAGGGTAGATTATTGGTAGAAAACATGGAGCAACTTTGTTCTTTTGAATGGTCGTACTCAAGCAGAGTCTACAATGAGAGAAGGTGCGCATCGATGTTCATAGCTATAGATATACCACAGCATGCTTTAGTATACTTATAGCTATGAACACCGATGAGCAACTTCTCTCATTGTAGACTCTGCTTCAGGGGGACAGCCCGGCGAGATTCACCTTTGTGGGTTCGCAGGGATGTAGTGTGATTGACCTGGTTTGGTGCTCGTTCGCTGGTTTGTCATCGTGTTGTAACCTTGAGGTTCTGCACCTTCCTACTCTCTCCGACCATCTCCCGGTTGCTGTAAGTCTCTCTACTTTTTGGGAAAGGGAAGGAGTTACTTCTACTCCTACGAGAATGGGACGTAAATTGAGGTTTTATAAGAATAAAGGGAAACTTTTCAGGGATCAGATGGCTTGGAGGGGGGAGGTGTCGAACTTGGAGGGAGATGTGAACGCCCTGAATAAGACGTTAGTTAATACTATATGTAAAGTAGCAAGAGATCTGGGAATGGAGAGGGAAAGCTCGTGTTCTACAGAGGGAAAGCGAAGACCCTGGTTTGATTGGTCTTGCAAGAAAGCAAAACGCCGGCTCTCTACTGCTCTTAGCCTTGCAAAGAAGAATGATTTTGCTGGAGATTTTAAAGATAATTTTCTGAAAAAGAAGCGTAAATTTCGTGATTTAATAGTATTAAAGAAAAAAAATTATAATGATATGATAATTAATAATCTCAATAATTGTAGGAATTCTTCTCTTTTCTGGCAGGCTGTGAGGAGAGTGAGGGGCGGAGTTTTGTCAAACGATTCGAATATTGGCTTGAATGATTGGCATGAATTTCTAATTAAGATTCCCCCTTCAGTTGTTAATCCCACTCCGAAGCCTTCTCTCAGGTTGTCACACCCGATTTTGGATAGCGATATAACTACTCATGAAATTATATTAACTCTGTCTCGTTGTTAGAGGGGGAAGTCTCCTGGTATCGACGTGATAGGCTACGAGTTTTATAAATGTTTGCCTCAAAATTGGATTTTCTTTATTCAGCATTTTTTAAATTCGATCCTAAAATCGGAAACGGTTCCAACCGAGTGGGGAAAATTAGCCACTTGTATGTTATTTAAAAAAGGAAATGCGAACGATCCTTCAAACTTTAGACCAATTACTTTGGTGAACTGTATCTCGAAAATTTTTACTCAGATTCTTGGTACTAGATTGATTAAATGGGCCTCAGATTTGGACTTGTTTCCCGAGTCACAGGCTGGATTTAGAGAAGGGAGAAGTTGTCTTAACAATCTTTTCACTCTTCAGGCTTTGATCCAGATCCATTTGAAAAATCCAAGAGCCGCGGTCTATGCTTTGTTCGTCGATTTTAAGGGAGCGTTCCCATCTGTCTCCCATAGTTTATTGTGGGAGAAATTACACTGGCTGGGTATGAGTACCAAGATGATAAACATTTTGCGGAGCTTTTACTTGGTCGCTTCGACGTGTATTAGAACCTACAAGGGCGATACTGATTTTGTGGACGTCTCACAGGGGGTTCTTCAGGGAGAGGTTTTGAGTCCTTATTTATTTCTATTATTTATTTCAGATATTGATAAATTTTTTATAAATGGGGGCTGCAGGGGTCTACCGACAAATAGTTTAATTGAGGTCTTGTTGTTGGGTTACGCGGATGACCTAGTCTTTCTCTCTGATACCCCTGTGGAAGTCTCAAGAAAACTTAAAGCGCTGTATGAGTACTGCGAATTGAATAGACTGAATGTAAACACACAAAAAACGAAAATTGTCACTATCACGAGAAACGGTAATAACAAAGCTAACAGAATTAACGCTTTTAAATTTGGCTCGGATCATATTGAAGTTGTTAAGAGTTATGATTACTTAGGGATTCCTTTTGTCAGATCAGGCTCCTTCTTTCAGGCCGCTTCTAAGGCAGTCAGTGCGGCTAATATAGCGGTAGGAAGTATCCTGCGTATTACCTGCTCTATGGGGAAGGTTTCTTGGAAATCATACACCAAGCTTTTTGAAAGCTTGGCGTTAAGTACGCTTTTTTATGGGATTCAGGTTTGGGGAACATGCCATTTCGACGAAATAGAGAAAGTTCAAACTTCCTTTTTAAAGAGACTTCTGTCCTTAACAACGAATACACCTGATTGGGCGGTTAGACTTGAGACGGGAGCGCTTCGACTTGGGCTTAAAGTTTTGAAATACATTCTAAATTGGATCCTTAGGATCTCTCGCATGGAAAATTCTAGATACCCTAGAATGTGTTTCGAAAGACTAAGAGCCCTGTCTATGTCGTCTCCGGAGTATGGGTTTAACTGGTTCACTCAGTTGAGAGTTTCTTTTTTTGAGCCTAGGGGCATGATCGACTTTTGGCGGGACCTAACTCTGGACTCAATCGCAAGCCTCAGGGAACCTATTCTAGAGAGCTGGAGTGTTGGCAGCCTCACTGCGGATAGAAATCGGCAGTCAGTTTCTTCCAGTCTTTTAATATTTCCAAATTTGTCTATTCAAGATGGCCCTCAGCCATACTTACTCTCGAGTCTTCCATTATTTTATAAAAGAATTTTTGCGCAATCACGACTCCTAAATAAATATATTACTCGAATTAATTGTGGCTCTTTTTCTTATACTTTTCGAGTTGATAGAGATTGTCTTTTTTGCGGCCTGGAAGAGGAAAGCCTGTTTCATTTTTTACTGCGTTGTCCGGCATGGTTGCACTTTTGTAAGGGAAGCTTTCCGGAGATCTCTTGCTCAGCGAGTTTGGCAGAGGAAGGCCTGATGATTGTATTTTCGTTAGACACGTCTTCGGTGAAAACCTATGTCAGGTTAATTATGCAAATACTCAGCGAATGTGAAAAGCGGAAATCATTAGAGAATAGTTCCTTACTTAATTGAGAGAAAATTAGGAAAATGTAATTGTATAACGCGACACCCCGCTTGCAATACCCAATATGTGGTCATAAACAAGTGTATTATTGATAAATGTATAATTATTTTTCAATAAATATTATTATTATAAAAGTAGCATTTCTCTGCCATCATTGAAAAAAGAACACCTTGTGAATATCTGCCGTTAGGGACTTTTGATTGTTTCTAGTTTTTTTCTCCGTGTGTGCACTATCTTTTTATTGTTACAATCTCTTCTTAATTATCCTCATAATAAACGTTTTATCCCGTCTGCAATAATATCATTCGCTTATAGTCTTACAGTTACCTCCTCCAAAAACTTCAGAACATTCCCTGTTCATTTCATCTTTCATTTAATTAATTTTATTTATTCAAATATAAAGTTTGAAAACTCTAACAGAGCGGAGGTTCACCGGACAAACGAATGGTGGAATTACAAAGAACATTGGAAAATGCAGAAAAAGAATTGGAAAAGGCGAAAGAAGAAGCCGGAAGAAGTTCTGCAGAAACGGAGAGACTATTGCAATTAATGCAAATGACTCAAGAGGAGCAGAATGCAAAGGAGAAACAAATAAGAGATCTTCAAGAGTAAGTTCCTTTCAATGGTCGTAAATAAAAAAGAAAAAGATTACATTTATTTTGCAAAATATACAGTGCCCTTTCGTCACTGCAAGATTATATCATCAACTGTTGTGAGTGCTGTAAATTCGGTAACAAAGAATATGTCTTAAATATACTTGAGTGCTCTATACAGTTATGAATTATGAGGAATGTTCACAGATCTTGCAATAACGAGAGTCGACTCCATTTTAACTATAAATGAATGACGCCTGTACTATTAATTACAGTAACTAATCAAAGATCTCTTATTTAGAGCACTGAAAGCCGCACAAGCAAAATTGAAGGCGACAGCCGCTCAGCAACAAGAGGTAAGTCATACATTTCCAATCAAAATAATTATGATTTTAAAAATTTTAATTGTACAGTTGAGCCTCGATAACTTGAAACTCAAGGGATATTTATTACTTGAATTAATTTCCATTAAATGCATTCTAAGCAGCAAAAATAATGAGTTATGTTTATAGGTTCATCTTTAAATAACAGAAATAAAAAAAAATTTACATGGAAAAAAGAGCAGAAAAAACTAACTTGAAATCTTATTTAAATTTAATTATGTACACAAAATTTTAAACGTAATTAATTTGTTAAATAAAGTTTCGAGTTATCTTAAAGGTTCCACTGTAATTACAATTTCAATTAATAATTTTTTTAAATGCTCACTAACCCTTCTCTGTTTAATTTTTCACGCTTACCCTCTCTGGATACTCAACATTGCGCAATCGTAAATGAAAATTAAACTGCTTTTTATTTCTGAATAAAAAAAATTACTAACAATTTATTTTTGTGTTCTTGAATGGAAAAAACAGGCTGGACCTGCTGGATTCTTAAAAAGCTTCTTCTAATGTCCATTTTGGTTGGAGAACAATTCTCCTTTCATTTCAGTACAATTTGCTTATTAAGCAAAATTATAACGAACAACTGATTGACACAATAATTATTTTACGTAAATATTACATGACCATTATTGACCGTACTTAAATGATAGGATAAATGAAGTTTTAAATTTAAAAAAATATATGAAAAATAACGACAAAAAATAATATTAATTACTATCGGATTAATGAATATACATAATATGTATATACGTGTGTAGATAAAAAATATATCGAAAGAATGAAAAGATGTTTTGGAAAAAAATTAATAAAGAAGCAGTTCAAGTAGGTCGTAAAAATGCCCAAAGGACACGTATACGTTTGTATCCATTCAAAGACACAAACTCTCTGTGACATGTTTGCCTTGCCAGAAAGAAGTTCTTCTTTTGAATTCTTTTTTTAATATTCTTTTGTCATATTGCTTCTTTATTTTGTGACAAACTGCTGACTTAGACCTCATACGCGAGGAATCTTCTCAACCAATCGGGATCCAGTGCTACGAAATCAGATGGACGTGACACATGGAAACGTGACATTGAAACGAAAAATCGCAAAATTCTTCAACTCGAACGAGACATGACGCTTATGAAGAAATTACTTAAACGACACTCAAATCCAGAAGGAATTCAAGAATTCGCCATTGAACTCGAGAAGAGGAAATTCAGAATTGAGGAACTTGAAGATACAGTTGCAGAATTTCAAGATTTTCTCAAGCACAATCCCGATGTAAAGGAACTTCATGATCTAAGATGTGAATTGGTCGACAAGAGTCAAAGAATTCAGGAACTCGAGGACTGGATACGAATGAACGGCGAGAGAGAAATTAAAATCGAACGTGAGAGAATTATGGAATTAGAAGAAATGGTGACACATCTAGAGGACTATGTCAAAGAACACAATGTCGATGTAATAAAGCAAAAATTAAAAGACCGAGAAGATCGAATGAATCAGTTGCAGAAACGTATCGACTTTCTCGAAAAAGAATCGATAAGAAATGAGAGAATCAAAAAAGATAATTCAGATTCCGATACGTTTAACAGAAATCTCGATCAATCCCAATATTTCCAATCCGCTCAAAGTAATCCGAAGTTAATCGAACTTGAACTAATGACAAAGGTACAGAATCAAAAATTACTATCAAACGAACAGAGGATAGTAGAAATGGATAAAAAATTAATGGAAAAAGATCAAAAGTTAAAGGAGAAGGAACAAAAAATGAAGGAAATGGAGCACGCACTTTCGGAGAAGGACAATAAAATTCAAGAATACGAGCAGCAATTGATTGAATGGCAGGATAGATTGAATAAACTCAAGAAGGAAATGAGTAAGCTGGAGAAAGAATTGGAAGAATATGAGGCTGAAGATATTGGTGTGTTAAAGGAGGAGATTAGAGTAAGGGACGAGAAAGTGGCACAATTGGAGGAAGAAGTTTATTCACTGGAAAGGGCCTTTAATGAGAGAATTGACCTTGAGCAAATTGAGGAACTCGTGGGACTTGTCAAAGAAAAGGAGGAAAAAGAAAAACAATTGGAAAGTAATATTCGCGAGAAGAATATTAGAATTGAGGAACTTAGTGAAGCACTTAAGGAAAGTGTCATTATGACTGACGAAGGTGAGAAGAAATTGAAGAACGAGATCCAGGCCAAGAAAACTGCTATTGAAAAGGTGAGTTTCATGAAGTTTTACTTAGGGGAAAGTGGGACAAACCGGCCAGGTGTCAATATCTCCGAATTGTCGAAATTCTCAAAAGTGTTGTTTACAAATTTGAAACAACCATGTATAGTATCTATACATTATTTTTTCAATTTGACAGTTTTCACTTTTGCGAACTTGTTCTTAACCCCTTGGCAGTCGATGACGTGTATATGTCGTCGCCACTTAGACGAATCCGACATTAAGCTAACTGTCCAGACAGTTAGCTAAATGCAGACAGTTAGACGAATACACGTCGATATCGTCTATCTGTCTAAGCAGTCAGCTAAATGTCCGACAGTTAGCTTACTGTCCACCGACATTTAGACAGTTAGAGAAAAGTAACTCAATGAATGGATTCACGTCATCCGTACGAAAATATTCATCTATATTAAAATTATTAACAAATTTTACATTAATTATTTATTAATATATTTATGCCAAATTAATTATGAAGAGATAAAATACATATTTTATAATTATTATAATAATATATTAATTTGTAATCTTTCTAGAATTATTTAATCATAAGTTTAAATTGCTGAAAAGTTAAACGTGATTGTAAGCAGTCATTTAATTCGCAAACAATGGGTGTATTGTTTTTGCTTTCGTCAATTACTTATAGTATAAAACTCTATATACATATTTCGTAAACTGTAATTAATGAGAAATTAATAATTTTATTTCGCAATCGCTAAATAGTAGTCGAAGGAAAAACATTCTAAGATACGTTAGATTTTTTAATACTACACTGCAAAAACTGGTATCTCACTCGTGTCTTAAAATGAGTTGCTTTAAGTGTTTAAACCATTGAGATACAAAATCTGTTTTATATTGAGACATTTAATTTCATCTCGTGTCTCATTTTAAGACATTAAAGGTAACTCAATGCGTATAAGACACGTAAAACGTCTTCTTAGTGTGAAACGGATACTCGAAACACATTTCGTGTCTCAAAATGCATAGCTAAATGTGTAAGACACTTTGAAACGTCTTAAAATGAGACACATATATGTTTCAAATATGTGGACTAAGACATCTTATGTGTTTCAAATATGGGACAAAACGTCTCAAAATGAGACACTTGATTTTGCAGTGTAATTCAAATCAATTTTAAATTTCTAATTTTTATAATGGAAAGCAGTTCAGTGAATTCTATTCAGTTCGACAGATTAATGGAAGAAAAAAGATTATCGGAAAAAGGAAATAGAACAATGTGGGATAGAAAACAAATTGAAAAAGTTATATCAATTTTGTGTAACGAAAGTGAAAAAAATGCTGCTTTTTATCATTTTTCGAAAACTTATGAAATCCTCCGAATTGGTGCGGAATGCAATATTATTTTAAAACGTAATAGTGCAAGTGACGATTTAATTTACATGATCCCGTATGAGGACTATTATTCGAAACTGATGGAAGCACACAAGCAAACTGGTCATGGTGGTCGACAGAGAATGGTTGAGTATATAAAAAAAAGTGGCGTATCCCTAGAAGTGCATGTACAATTTTTATTAGTTTATGTGAAACATGTAATTTAAAGAAATCAGTTCCAAAAAAAGGAGTGATTGTGAAACCAATTATTTCGAACGGTTTCAATGCACGCGGTCAAATCGATTTGATAGACTTTCAGTCTTCTCCTGATGGAGAGTATAAGTGGCTCCTCAATTACCAGGATCATGCTACAAATTTTCTTCATCTAAGACCCCTCAAATCGAAACATGCCTGTAATGTAGCAGAGGAGCTGTCGAAAATTTTCTATACTTTTGGAGCCCCAGCCATTTTGCACAGTGATAATGGGAGAGAATTTGTAGCAAAAGTTATGAGGAAACTTATTTCTATTTGGCCGCAAAGCAAAATGGTGCACGGACGACCCCGCCATCCACAATCCCAAGAAAGTATTGAACGTGCTAATGGTGACGTGGAGAACATGTTGCGAGCATGGATGACCGACAATAAAACGACTGAATGGGCACGAGGCTGTTACGAGGTTCAGGTAACTAACGAACTGACTAACTTACAAATTAACTAACTAACTAACGAACTAACTTACAAATTAACTAACTAACTAACGAACTAATTTACAAACTAACTAACTAACTTACAAATTAACTAACTAACTTACAAATTAACGAACTAACTAACGAACTAACTTACAAACTAACTAACTAACTTACAAATTAACGAACTAATTAACGAACTAACTTACAAACTAACTGACTAACTAACTGAATAACTAACTAACTTAAGGGACACAGTTACTTGCTTAAATTGTCTTTCTGAATTGCATTTTCATTGTGGAGATCAAGTAGATGTAGATTCTTTCCTTTGCGCATTATGTGCAAGAGGAAAACAAATGCAATAAATATTGACGACGTTCTAAAGGATAAATATTTTTCTCTTCGAGAAGCCGCAGCAGCTCAGTCTAGATCAGGGGGACAAGGTTACAAAAAATGTAACTGCAAAGAGACAAAGGACCAGTGCTGTACTAAGCGCTGTTCCTGCTTTAAAGCAAATATTGTATGTGGCTCTCGATGCCACCATGCCAATCCGTGCAAAAATAAATAATTAATTAGTAAATAAATATATAATTAATGTAAAAATCTAATTTTTTTGTTATCGGACACAATAAATAAGTTAGTTATTTAGCGATTGCGAATTAAAATTATTAATTTCTCATTAATTACAGTTTACGAAATATGTATAGAGTCTTATACTATAAGTAATTGACGAAAACAATACACCCATTGTTTGCGAATTAAATGACTGCTTACAATCACGTTTAACTTTTCAGCAATTTAAACTTATGATTAAATAATTCTAGAAAGATTACAAATTAATTTACAATTTAATTTATTATTATAATAATTATAAAATATGTATTTTATCTCTTCATAATTAATTTGGCATAAATAAATTAATAAATAATTAATGTAAAATTTGTTAATAATTTTAATATAGATGAATATTTTCGTACGGATGACGTGAATCCATTCATTGAGTTACTTTTCTCTAACTGTCTAAATGTCGGTGGACAGTAAGCTAACTGTCGGACATTTAGCTGACTGCTTAGACAGATAGACGATATCGACGTGTATTCGTCTAACTGTCTGCATTTAGCTAACTGTCTGGACAGTTAGCTTAATGTCGGATTCGTCTAAGTGGCGACGACATATACACGTCATGGTGCAGGTGGGCTCAAACTGTCGATGACGTGTATAGAAGCAAGCAGATTTTTGGCTACAAAAATACACAATTTGTCCACAAAATGATACTCGGGGGTTTTCGGGGTCGCTAATTACGAATCCGTTTTCAGATTTTAAAAATTCAAAATGGCGGATCCAATATGGCGGACGAAATTTTTTAAAATTCATCGGATTCACTTCAAACTTTTTACTCGGTGGTTTTCAAGGTCGCTGATTACGAATCCGATTTCAGATTTTAAAAATTCAAAATAGCGGATCCAATATAGCGGACGACATTTTCAAAAACTCGTCCGATTCATTTAAAACTCGTTACTCGGGGGTTTTCGGGGTAGCTGATTACGAATCTAGCATCAGATTTTTAAAATACAATGTGGCGGTTCGAATATGGCTGGCGCTATTTTGAAAAATTTATGAGATTTACTTAAAAGTTGTTACTTGGGATTTATTGATGTCGTAAATTAAAAATGTAATATCGGTTTTGAAAATGGCGGATTCAATATAAGAACAAACAAATAATATATATATAAAACAATAAATAAAGGAGTGTAAAATCCGACCGCATACCTCCACGTGGTAAACTCTGGGGTCGTAAGTAACGTAGTATACGGAGAGAAAAAAAGTTGTAACTGCTTTCTTTTGAGTCGTCATGATAATTTTATGAAGTCAAGTAGTTGTAACCGGAGAGCCAGGCCGTTTTTACTTGGCTCTCCAGTTGCGTTTTTAGTTTTCCTTAGTCAATTTACTACTGATATCGATCCAGCCATTGACACTACTTGAGGTTGCCAAGCCAAAACTTCCTGGTTGTCAAATTGTGCTGACTTAGGTATCAGAGGTTATGTTAACGCCTGTGTCGGTCAAGAAGTTATAACCGGGGTCTCCGGTTGGTATAACATACATGTTTTCTCCGTGTATACTTAACAGCTGACTGTTGTCATTCGCCATATTGTATCTGCTATTTTGAATTTTCAAAATCTGAAATCGGATTCGTAATCAGCGACCCCGAAAACCCCGAGTAAAAAGTTTTAAGTGAATCCGATAAATTTTAGAAATCTTCGTCCGCCATATTGGATCCGCCATTTTGAATTTTTAAAATTTGATGTCGGATTCGTAATCAGCGACCCCAAAAATCCCTGAGTAACAAGTTTCAAGTGAATTAAGTCGATTTTTAATTTTCATGTCCGCCATATTGGATCCGCCATTTTGAATTTTCAAAATCTGATATCGGATTCGTAATCAGCGACTTCAAATACAATAGTATGCTCGTTTGCGCAAATTTTAGTTTTCTAGAAAGTTGGCGACATTTTGTGCCCACTTATGAGATTTTGGTCTTGACTGCGAAGGGGTTAAAGAAATTCTGAGGAAATCGTTTAATATTTCCAAATATTAGGTTTTAGGTTTTGAAGGTACACACCTCAGGAATATTTACCACCAAAAACTTTGATGAATTTGCAAAGCGTTTCTTTTAGACAAATATTTATTCTCAAAATGGGCCTGTGGGGCAAACCGGTTATAGGATATTTTCATTATATCAGAGTTTCACGAAAATTATTAATAAATAAACTGTTTTTTTCATTAAAATATAATGAAAAAAAATTCAATGAAAATAAAAAATAATCAATAATAAAAAAAATAATAAAAAAATAAATAATAAATAATAATAATAATAAATAATCAATAATTCAATGAAAAATAATTATCTCCCAATGAGAATAGACCCTTTTAACCCTCCTACGGTTTAATTAAAAAATTGCAGATATCTGTACCAATATG